GAGAGAGAGAGAGAGAGAGAGAGAGAGAGAGAGAGAGAGAGAGAGAGGAAAGAGAGAGAGAGAGAGATGAAAGGGAGAGAGTTGTTTTTGTTTTTGTTTCTTGTTTTGGACCACCAGTACACAGGCATAGGTTTCCGACGATTTGTATACAATCGGACTTTTCACAGTAATAGTGCCACTAGAATGGCTGGTGGTACTAGGCAAAATAAAAAGACAAGGAAAATGTGCCGAGGCGGGTTGGTTCATTTCGGTGGGCAGGGGAAATCCGTGTCAGAAAAAAGAGGTCAGACGTACTGGTAGTTTAAGAGACCAACCGTCTAGTATCTTCATCTGGTGTGATCCTAATTCGAACTCATGACCTGTTCACAAAGGGTTCCATGTGTATAGTACTGTATACCATTCAGCCATATATTCACACATGCTCTGTGTTTGATATAAAAGAGAGGTAAAATCACTTTCTGTGCCACGTCTATTTTCCGTTGTGCTCTTCCTCTCTTCTTTTTTTTTTTTTTTTTTTTTCCCATTTCGCTTTCAGTTCCGAGATCCATTGGCCGATTCGAGATCAAAGCAGAGCCTGATGCAAATGTGTCCAACATTTTTGCTGAATTTTTATACTGTGGAATCAGAGACTTTCCGATTCTCCCCTCAAATTCGTGTTTCCTCTCTCTACATCATATGGTTCTCTGAGTTCTCTCCCCCCACGTCTTTCCCATGAGAAGCCAGAGCTCCACTGGTTCTCCTTGTAATGTAATTTGCCCTTCTCTGTAAGCAACATGGCACACTTTCCAGAAAAGTGACCTTCTAGGAAACAGTCGAATACTGCTGTGCATGTGTTTGTGGGAAGATGGTAGCCCTTTCGCTTTTCGTTTTGTTTCCTTGCTGTTCTTGCATATCTCACGGTGCCCTCACCTTTCTGCCGAATTGCGGGCAGGTAGATCCAGGATGGGCTGTAATTCCAGTCAGATACATTCTCGAAACTCTTTAGTATGAGTATGTTTTGTCTGTGATCCCTCGTCAGGTCATTCTGTTTATGTGTCTTTTCTCATCACATGACTGAGTTTGGGAATTATGCCAATGTTATTGTTTACTTCTCCACTTACACAAGTTTTAAGTCTAGTTGCCTTTATTTGTTCATTTATTCATTTATTTATTCATTTATGTATTCATTTATTTATTCATTTATTTATTCATTTATTTAGTTAGTTTTTATCTTCCGACCGCGTTAACAAGGCATGGAACTCCGTGAGATAACAATGGAAATCTTATCCGGCTATCAGTTGGATCATTCCTTTGTGTTATTGTTAAAACTTGAAAGTATTGAATCAGGAATTTTGCAAGCAATTGGATCAATCAATGTTGTTCAGGATCCTTCGGTCAAGCGGAAGGATGCATGGCCGCGTGTTAATGATATATTATTATATTAATATATTCTCTTGACTTGCTGGGGGAATAGGAACCGGACTGACACTCCCCAGAATGGATATGGAGCCAGGCCATAAGGACCTGTTTTTTATATATATATATATATAAAAAAAAAAAAAAAACATCCATGATTTTGAACCTCTGGATGGACGAATTGGTGATAGATGGAGGGGGGTGGGATCTGACGTGTGTGTATATGTCGACGTGGCTTTTTTTTGACCAGGTGTGTAGGATTGGAGAGAAGCCTCTCTTCTTAATTGCACTTTTGACACAAGTGATTAAGTTGCAGTCGACCATCGTCTTCACTTCATCAGTGGAAGGGACACACAGACTTTTCAAGCTCTTGGAGTCTGTCGAGGGCTTGCCTATGAAGGCGGTAGAGTACTCCAGCCTGCAACATCAACGAGATCGCAGGTCTGTGGATTCTCTAACACACACACACACACACACACACACACACACACACACACACACACACAC